TTAGAGCTTGGTCACAGTGTGGCTGTGGCTTTTGCGGGCATACCCAAGCTCAACTTCCATGAAACCATTTTGCTCTTGCATGGAGATAAAGAGCTCAGCCTGGGCTGCAGACTCCTCGGAGGATTCAATCATGCTTTAATAGCTAGTTTTGCTGAATGCAGGTTGCTGTAATTGCTTTGCATCCAGCAACTCTAAGCTTATTAGCTTAAATTTAGCTTAAGGTCTGCATGTGCTGTGGTCACACCTTTGCAGTGATGAGATGCCCTAAAACATTTCATAGAAGGGCTCTCAGCTCTGGTTATTGGCCACTCCATAAATTCTTCTAAATCACAATGTGCTGAACATCAAAGCATTAGTGAAAAGTCTTCCTTTTTTTTTTTTTTCTTCGGCCTTTTCTAAGACAGCGTTTTCCGTTAAATGATGCAGTACCTGATCCCAAATTTCAGAGCCAGAAGGATTTCAGTTTTGGAACACATTTAATTTGCATGTTTCATTTTTTTTTTGCTGCTGTTGCATATATATCCACAGCTAACAACATATAAATAAAAAATCATGGAGTGAAATCTAATCAAAAAAGTGCCTAGAGTTAAAAACACATTGTTTCCTAATAGGGGAAAAAAAAAATCTATGCATGAATTTACCATTTCAGTATACTGGGATTTAATTTTGTGGTTTGAGCAGATCTTAGTATACTTAGAGGACAGAAACTAATGACTACTTATGCTTTTATTTTACATTTTAAAACATTTATGCAATAATTTCCTACTGCAGAAAAGATTTATTAGATTAACAAGTAACCAGCTAATTAAATCTTTTCTATCTTTTACAAAGATGCAGCTCTGCTATGCTGAGAATTTCTCCTTTAACGTACAACAGACTCTACCACTCTGTTTTCTAGTTTAGGAGGACATCTCTGGCGCTAACACCTCTGGCGCTAACACTAACTTGAATGATTTCCGGCACTTGTTGACCTGCATTTTCCTTTGGTGACAGTGTTCCCTTTATCCTCTTGCATGTCTGACTCGTGACCTGTGTATAATGTGACTTTGAAAGCTTTATCCTTCCTATTGCCTGGCTTATCAGGGATTCATTAAGCGCAGGAGAACTTTAGTTCCCTGTTCTTGCTCAAGGTCCAGAGGTCTGTTCCCACTGCCCATATTGCAATTCCAAAAAAACGTCTTGCTCAGTTTTTTGTTAGAAAAAAAAAGTTAAGCCAGAAGCAGCTGAACAGCTTAGAGATATCTTTTATCCTGGAAGACTGGAGTTTGACAATGTGGACATTTAGAATCTGAAATGGTAAGATTCAGGTAACTTTCTCAGGAAGGAGTGGGCCCTTCTGCATTTCAAACTGAGTGTTATCCCCGCTTGTGCCCCCACTATCAAACCGAATTTTCTTTCCTAGTATATAAAGAAAATTGAGAAAACAGGCTTTGCAAGATGCATAAGTCAATAAACTTGGGCTTTGTTTAATCATGAATGGATAATCTAATTGCAAAGCCGAACATCCTTTCCCCAAAAGTATCCTTCTGGGTAAGTGTGACATTGTTCACTTCCTCTGCAGTGGCTTCAGCTGTCTGCTAAATAGACATGGTAGTTTAAAGATGGCTGGTTCACAGCTATTGCTTGTGTCCTCTCCTGATCCAGTGGCTTCAGAAATCACAGGGAAAGTCTCCATTGACTGCAGTGATGTATGACTCACACTTCTAACTTGATGGTGTGTATCAGATAGGAATTTGGTTTGGGACTTCAGATTCCAAACTTGACACGCAAAATGTAGTTCTGGAGTTTTCTGTTTTTCCACTTATAAGATTTCTGCGACTGAGATGATTGAAGGGTAAGCTGAATGAATGTCCTCATTTGATTAAGACGTGATCCCATACATTGGCCAAAACCTCAAGGGGCAGGTTTGGATAGGTTGGATTTTCAGTAGCAAAATCATGCATTACTTAAATGATGCTAGCACCGAAACAGATACACGTTCCATTTCGGGTTTCTAATAACCTCTCTGTTCCTTGAGTGCTGAGGTTACTTTATTTACCACAGACGCTCACTTTTTATTAGAAATGTTTCAAAAATATTCCCTGTAAAGCATAAATACAGTTAAAAGAAAAATGAAATTAAAGGCAGCCAGTAATCAGATGAATTCAGAACACTGAGTTTCTTAATAGCTCAGATTTAATTCAAAGCAGTTAGTCTTTAGTATAATTTCAACCAAAGAGAGTGCTGCTGAATCTTGGGAAGAACTTTGTGTATTTAACAGTTGAGGCTTTATTGTTTAAAATATATTTTAAGTATAAAAGTACCGGCTTTAGGCACCCAGTAAATAATAGTGCAATGCATCATGTGTTCATTTAGTATGTGTTTAATTGCTCTTTCCTTGGTAGTGTTTTATGGAATAGGCTTTTAAAGCTCCCAACATTGCCTTTATATTTTGCAAGATTAGATATGAAATGTGAATGCTCAGTAAGTACACCTCTGATTATTCAGCCATAAAGCAGTGGGTCAGACTGAACAGGCTTTAAGACATACAGGAATTTTAAGTAAGTTTTACTCGATTACTTTTTGGAAAAAATAAGCTTGAATGTCAGCTGAAATGTTCTCTTTGTTTTATACATAAGATATATGACTGTTATCTGTGCTTAGAAAAAAATAAATAATAACAGCATGAACTTTCTCCCAGAGTCTGAAATAAAAGCTGTATTTTTATATTACTTATACAACTGCAAAACTGCTCATGTAATTTAGGGAGAGAAGATGTAATAAGGATGGAGAACAGAGTGTCAGGTTATAAACTCTCCTGGTCAGGGATTAATTCTTGGTTTGGGTTTGTACAGTAGAAAGCGCAGTGTAAGTAAGCCTTACCACTGGGTTGAATGTAAACTACTGGGTGTAAAAACTCCCAGGTTTAGATTCCAGATCTCTAACACCTTCCCCACCCATACTCCTGATAATGAGCAGAGTATCTCTAAGTAAAGTGGAAAGAATGCTTATCTCCTTGACCAAAACAAGAGGACCTGATCCTCCTACAACAAACAAACAAAAAAAAAATAAAAATTATGCCCTTTTTTCTCCTTCTGATTTTCCAGAAAATTTTTGTTAACTTTCAGAATTCAGGTACATTCACTGAAACACATTGCAGATTATTTTAGTTTAATAGATCAATAAGCTACTCTATAGTTGTTCTTTATTGTTTTTAATGTAGATACTGTTTCTGATTCATGCTGTAGTCTACTGGACCCAATCTGTTGCATAATGAACCCTAAAAGGAACTTCCTAAGTTATTGGACAAGTGGGCTATGCAGAGTAGCTCACAAGCATATATCCCAAACCAATTAAGTAGGTATACGTTTAGATGAAAATAAGAACAATAAACAAGACCCACGTCATGTGTAAATGCAAAATACAGAAATCAAAATGGGAAAACTCCACTTCCCTCCATGGTATTAGTCATCATGACAGCTTCAATGCAAATATAGAGCTTCAATTTATTAAGGATTTGGGGATCTGAAACAAATTCCAACAGGATTTGAAAAGCATACAAGAACTTTGTTGAACAGATTACATCTGAAAATATCAGATGCACATTACCCTTCAAATGTTAGTTGTGAAAAGAAACAGAGGTGCAAAAGTGAGAAATGTTTTCCTGGTATGGAAAACTCCAGAAACTCCAGTCTTTTACTGTTTGATAATATAATTAGCCAGTGTTTTGACTAGACTGATTTGATAATGATGCATAGAAAAGGGCAATTTAATCTTGGCACAGTAACTAGGAATGTTTGCCTCATTGCTTTCTATGTCTTAATTTCTACTTTAAATTAAATGTCTTCAGCTTCTGAATGTTTTATATTAGAAACCTTCTTTTCCAAAGTTTCTATTTTGAGTCACTAATTAATTTAATGCACAAGTTAGGTATATCATGGGATTGCAATAGATCAGGAACATATTTTTCTTCTCTTTCTGCATCTATACACTCTATTAAAATACATTGCCAATGGTTTGTGCACTGAAGAGGACATACATATTTCTTGGTCCCTCTCAGATGTTTCCATTAACTTTTTGATGGTCCCTGTGCTTCTATTCCCTAAATATTTGTGCTTCCACTTATTTGTACTTCATTTATCTTGCATGAAAAAAAAAAGCTCAAATACTTGCTTTAGGAAAATATCTACTATGTCTCTTGATAGGCAAGGAAATTAATTCTATATGCAAAGGCATGCAGCTTTCTTGCCAGTGCTGTTTGGTCTACATTATGCTCAGTCAGAGAGGTGATGTGCCTACAGATGTTAGGTCCATGTTCAGTCAGTGAGATATCTCTATGAATAACAAAATTTCCAGTTATGTTAGCTGTAGTGAAGCACACTGAGATGGAGACCATTGGACCAGAGGACGTTACCCAGTTATTCTCTGATAGCTGAGAAGAACAGTATGCACATTTCTCTCTTTACCACTTATAATTATTTGCTGAGATTTCAGCTGAGCATTGGATAATGCTGCAGGCTGTTGAAGTAGGTGGACTCTCATTTTGGTTAGAGTGGCAATCCTCTCCTTGGCTTTAATTTTAATATATGGCTGCTGTTTTCTGAGAAGTCTGGAGAAAACCCCACTTGGATGGTGTTCTATCTGTGACTGCTCCTCTACTGCATTTGACCTCTTTGAGGTCAAAGCAGAATTTAGCATTTACTTCAAATTGGCAAAGTATCAAATCTCTCCTTTTTGTAACAAGCACGCCATTTCTCACTTTGGATTTCACAGGATTCTTTTGTTGCTTTGAAAGACTGAGCTTGATCTAAGTAATTTATTCACCTATTGAATGCCAAACTTGATTTACCCTGATGAGGCCAAAAGTACTGGAGGGGGAGAGCAGTTTGTTCTTATCTGTCATCTGGGATACTAAAAAATTATGCAGAAAGGTTTATAGCAGCTGCAGAAATCTCTGCACAGATTTCTCTATTAACCACCAGGATATTTCTGATGAATTAATTATTTTTATTCTTTTCTAGGGGATCAGTAGCCTCTTCAGTTCCTTAAAAGTGGTGCGTCTTCTCCGACTTGGTCGAGTTGCCAGGAAGTTGGACCATTATCTGGAATATGGTGCTGCTGTACTGGTACTGTTGGTGTGTGTGTTTGGACTGGTGGCCCATTGGCTAGCCTGCATATGGTACAGCATTGGGGACTATGAAGTTATAGATGAAGTCACTAATACAATCAAAACAGACAGCTGGCTCTACCAGTTGGCACTGAGTATCGGGACACCATATCGATACAACACCACTGGCTCAGGGCAGTGGGAAGGAGGACCCAGTAAAGACTCCTTGTACATATCCTCTCTCTACTTTACCATGACAAGCCTTACAACGATAGGATTTGGAAACATAGCACCAACCACTGATGGAGAGAAGATTTTTTCGGTGGCCATGATGATGGTTGGCTGTAAGTAGAATTTGATTTTATTGTGCTTAAGGTGAAGATAATTGCATACGCAGTATGATGGTTGATAAGAATACATGTGGTAACCTTTTTTGACACCCTAGAAAAAATGAAGTAACTGTAAATAATCGTGGAATGAACTTGGAATTATCATTAAAAACAGAAGCTGAAACTATGTGGTTGCTATAGCTTTTAACTTGTTTGCAAGACTAAGTGTAGTAGGTACAAAAATGTGTCCAATGGTAATTGTATATTAAATTTAGGGCCTGTTGTGAATTAATTTAGACAAACTCGAACTTAACAGGAAGTAGGATTTGTTAATAAATCATGAGATTAGATTTTGCGAATTTTAACAGCACTTAATGATTTGCCAATTTAATATAGTGGTATAAATTGGATTTATGTGATGTCTAAGAGCTCTTAAGGTTTATTGATATGATATAGCAATTTAACAAAAATTAGTTATGATTAAAACAGCGACTTAATTAAAGATTCAAGAATGGCAAGGTTCACATGAAACTTAGTGCAGTGAATTGTATGCCTAAGGATTTTTCCCCTTGGTGAATTACCCTTTATGTGTTGGCATTAATCAGTGGGTGATCATGTACCAGGAGAAGTTTGTCTTCAAGGTGTCCCAGCTCAGGGGGAGTCACTGGGTCACAGCCCGCTGCAATCCCAGAAAGCCTAAGGGGCTCTTCGCTCAGGACCATTATTTGTGGTTCTGTGAGACAGTCAACTATGAATCAGTACATTTCCATCCTGGCTACAATTCAGATACGGCAATACTTGTATTTATATGAACTGTGCCGTTACGGTATCTTCCAGAATGTACAGTTCTGGTACTTCTCAGACTGGGCTATGATCCAGGCCATAAGGTCTGAGACATGATCAGGGAGTGCCTGTTCAGTACTCACCTGGTATGCCCGTTGCCTATTGACAATAGAGGGATGATGTAATGTTAATCTTGAACTGTGGCTGGTTAATCTTGAACTGGAGAAAGAGCTACTTCACCACAGGGCTTCTTCTATATAATTTAAAGGTGGTTTCTATCACATTGAAAAGATCTTGACTGGAACCTGATTAAGAGTTACAATGCTCAAATTCATTCAGTCTGAGTTTTGCTTATAGACTTGAACAGGCTTGGAAGTGCTTGAAGTGGATTCATCCATTTCTCAAAAAAAAAATTTAGTGATTCCACGGTGACTGTGTACTTTATTACACTGGTTTGACTTAAAACAAGACCCGTTTTTGTCTCCACGCTGTGGTGACCTTTGTCACCAGCAAGTCTAGAAGTGAAAGAACTCACAAGATGCTATGTTGCACCTTTCCCCTGCTTCCTTCTGTTTCTCAGCTCTTCTAAAATAGTCCAAAACCAGTAGTGGTAAGGCACGTTTCTGATTTTCAGTGCTGCCAAGGTTGGATGACTGAGCAGCTCTAGAGGTTAACAGAACATTTCAAAATATAGCAAAGAATGCCAAAAATGTTAACGTTGTTTGGGAAAAATATTTTTCTTTTAAATAAATAATGCTTGGTGTTTCTCTGATGCTTTCGGTTTTCTAAGCTTCATACGAGTACTTAGCAATTATGTAACAAGAGAGCAAACAAAACCTTTTGAAAATAAGATCTGCATAATCTCTCTGATAATTATCTCTGCTAACACTCTGAGCTCATCTCAGAGAAATACTGAACCATAAAAAGGAAGTTTTCTTACTGAAGTCTTTCTAGATCTTCAGAAGATTGAAGCTGTTTATTTTGCAATTTTTAAATACTTATTTAAAAACAAGGTTGTGGTTTTAGGACTCTGCTTGCGGTGTGGTGCAATGAAATTTGTGCTGAACAGCATCGTTACATGATGGTTTGATGTGCTTCAAAACATTACAAAGTCCATAAAAAAAAACAAATCTCCAAGCTAGATCATTAATGAGCTATGGCAGCTGGGTTATGGAAAGCCTGTAGGTGCTGATTGGGTATTTGTTGAAAGTGGTTGGTGGTATTCACAGAAGTCTGGGGATTTGGGGAATACGATGCATTTAGAACATTTTAAATGTGGTGATCTCTCTTCCTCTGGCTTTCGGGGATACTTCTGTTGCCCGGCAGAGGAGTGTCCCAACAGCAGTGGTAAATGATTTAGGGTGAGGTGAGAGCCATAAGATAATTAATAATAATAGTGTTGTAGTAATAACAAAATAGTAACATGGCATCAGTAAGTGAAGGGAAATGAAGCTTGTAACCTGCTTTGTATTTGTTCTGTGTTGTCTCTTGCCCTATCAGTCTACTCTCTGACAAAGGGTCCCTCCCCAGCTTTCCTGTAACACTCTGTAGCTATGAGAAGGCTGCTGTAAGGTCTGCCTGGAGCCTTCTCTTCTCCAGGCTGAACACCCCCAACATCCTCAGCCTGTTTCTGCAGCAGAGGTGCTCCAGCCCCACGCTGTGTTTGGTGCAGCCCAGGGCATGGGTGGCTTTCTGGGCTGTAGGCGTACATTGCCAACTCATGTCGAGCTTCTCATCTCATCCCAGTCCTTCTCCTCAGGGCTACTCTCAATCCATTCTCTGCCCAGCGTGTGTTTGGGTTTGGGATTGCCCCGGCCCAGGTGCAGGATCTTGCATTTGGCCTTGTTGAACCTCATGAGGTTTTCTCAGGCCCAGCTCTCAGGCCTGCCCAGGCCCCTCTGGATGGCAGCCCTTCCCACGGCTTGGTGTCACCAGCAAATATGCTGAGGGTGCACTCAATCCCAAATTACATGGCAGTATCAAAGTTGACATTGACAGCAACCATTATTAAAGCCACTGGTTGATTTTAATAGATTTCCTGTGTTACCTGCAAATCTATTAGCCCACAGACATGTCCACTTTATATGCAGTACTTGTAAGTCTAGTGGTTGGAAAATAATGAGTAAGCTTATAAGCATCTGGGCAAAGTCAAGATTAGAGTGTAAAACACAAGAAGTGGGGGAAAAGGACAGTTAAGGACTAAACTGAATTTACTTATTGCACATAAATTATGCCATCAAAATACTTATTTGAGGCATGCAGGAACAGTACAAGCAAAAGAAGCCTTTTTTTTTTTTTGCTTTTTTTTGTTGTTGTTTTAGATTATTTAAAAGTGTAAAAATGTCCAATTGTGATCAAATGGTTGAATCTTTCATGACTATATAAATGAAGATTTGAAGGTTTTCATCATAGTGATATGTATGAATTGACTGCAAAGAGTTAGTTGTTTGGTTGGTTGAATACTGGTTAGAAAATAAGCCAACTTCCAGATGGATACCATTATACCATTTTACTTGGAATATTTCTGCAGAGAAATCAGACCTGCAGGATTGTGTAAACATGCTTTGCAGTGCCAGTTGCTGAAAACATGACAGTATAACACCAAAACAGGGCAGGAAAACACAAGCAATGACTGAAAATGCTATTTCTCAGGCAAAGTGGCCAGTGGGACTGGGAAGAGGTTTTGTCCCCAAGAAAAGATGTAAATAAGAATGGAAAATGATTCCTTTGAGTTGTTTTCAGGGGGAAAAAAAAAGTTCATTCTTCTTTTGAAAGTTTTTTTTTTTTCTTTTTAAGAATTCAGCAAAATTCAATTACAGTTCAATCAGTGAAAAAACACTGGTCCCTGAACTGCTTTTGTAAGCCGTTCAGAGAGAGTGAGAGACTGTGAAGCACCTTTGGTAGCTTTCCTGAAGTTTACTAATACCAGTAGTTGATATTGGCAGTGTCTTTCCTAACAGACTCTGCCAAATAAATGTCTTATACTTAGCACTGGAATCAGAGATAGTAATTCATCATGGTCCCAGCTGCCTACTCATGCAAACTTCAGATATGAAGGAAATTCTTTGCTGCGTTGTCAGCTAGCGGTGGCTTGTTCTGCATGCCAGCAGTTTCCTATTCACACTGGCAAAGTTATCGGGATTTGGGAGTAGGGTTTGGAGAGATTTGCAAATCCTTCTGGTGGGTAGGGCTGCATGCTTGTTAAAAAGAGACAGATTAGGACTCTGTAGCTGCTGATACAGCATTTCACGATGCAGGGTGGTGGTGGGGGAAACCAAGATGAATGCGGATGCTCTTCTGTTTGATAGGCATTTTGTTACTTGGTTGTTCATTGAGGACAGAACCAGGTGGGATATTTAGACTGTGATATATCACCTTGTGTCTTACAGGAAAGAAGGCTTTGAGTAATTTAACCTCATCCTGTGGAGCTTATTTCAGCTTTCTTTTCACCCTACCTTCCATTTCTCAGCATGCAGTGCTATTCAGTATTTTTTCTGTTGCTTTTCAGCACTTTGAAAAGCTAAAAATAAACATAAAGCATCCCATGGTGAGGGTTACTGTTTAAATACCTATTCTGCATTTGTTGCTTAGAGTTGCTGAATATGCATTGAGAATCTGATTTGTTGTAGCTTTTGTGTTGATATAGGTCACTTCATCCCCTCTGCTGCACAGAACAGAAGAAATGGGTAGGTCAGTCAGATCCTTTGAATGGCCAAGGAATCATTTATCATTCAGGAAGGACCTTTATTGTAAATCTCCCATTAGCTTCTGTCAGCTCACCATCTCTAGGAAGAAAGTCAGCCAGTCTCTTCTGTTGCATTTTGCTCTAGCTCAGTTCACAGGCAGGCTTTAGGCTTCTGCAACACACCCATAGATGTAGATGTGAAGCTGTTTTTGTGCCTTTCACAAAAAAGGAATGTATTATGGAAGAAGCTAGAAAAAATATATCTTTTGGTTCATAGACCATTACTGTCTCACAATACAGCACAAAGCACTTCAGTGGGCAGAAAGTCTGTAAAAGGCAACAGTGATCTTGCGTAAGGTGGTAATGTGGCAGGATGAAATCTTGGGAGAGATGAGATTTTTCTGAAGAAACCACTGTGAATGTTTAAGCTATAGGAGTCTGTGTACTGCTGTATGCCTTCTTCCCTCCTGTGGTTCCAGTTGGAGAAAAGTGGCCAGATTTCCAGCTTGCAACTCCAAAGGTCGCAGTTAACTTTGTGCTTCTTGTG